TTTAGGATACGGTCTATAGGATCTATAGGATCTCACTGTGTAAATCAGACTTGTAGTAATCTGCCTATGTTCAGCTTTCCGAGAGCTGGGGTTATAGGTGCATGCCACTATGCCCAGTCTCAGTGCACCCCAGGGGTGGGGCTGGCATGGCATGCTTGGGATTGAACCCCAGCCACTGTGTCTGCCTAATTATGGTTTTTGAAACTAAGTTTTCCTTTCTTCTTTTCTTTTCTTTTCTTTTCTTTTCTTTTCTTTCTTTCTTTCTTTCTTTCTTTCTTTCTTTCTTTCTTTCTTTCTTCTTTCTTTTTTTTTGTGGTACCAGGGATTGAACTCAGGACCTTGCACTTGCCAGGCAAGCACTGATTCTCCTGAGCTTTCTCCCCAGCCCTGAAACTAAGTTTTATATACATCATTCTTTTAAACCAGTGGAGCGCAACTGGTGGTGATTTTGCTCTCTATTTTGAGCCCTAGGTCACAACTGGCAATACCTGAAGACAGTGTTGGTGGATATAATGTCATAACACTGGGCAAGGGCCAATGAAGTGATGCTGGCAGCTAGTGGATGATGCCAGGGATGCCACTAAACACCCTACAGTGTGCAGAGCATCCCACAGAAGAATTGGTCCAAATGTCAGTATTGCCAAGGTTGAAAAATTCATTTAAACAAAGTTATCAGGGGCTGATCAGGCCCACAGCCTTCCAAAGGAGTGTACAGCAGAGGATTAAATAAAAGAGATAAGTGATATGATTTTAGGGCTCCAGGAGGATCAAAACCTGTTAGCAGAATTCAAGATTCTCTGGGGGATGAGACAAAGAACTTCCCTGGGTGGCCTATATTTATTTGGTTTTTAAACAAAGGAAGAGGATACTGAGGAAAGCTCAGGAACTGAGTAGGACCTTAGTAGTCAGTTCAAAGAAGTCCCCAAGTAGTAAATTATGCTAATAGGAAGCTCTCTTATCTCCAGGTTGACATTCACAAAAGTGAGACACCTGCAGCTACAATCTCTATTTAGCAAACTGGGGTTGGAGCCAGGCATCCTCAGCTGTGGCCTTATCTTGTCCTTTGTGGCTTATGGCATCATAGGCCACCACAGGCCTCTGCCAGGACCAGGGACTCAGAGAGGTTCCCTTACTGTGAGTCCACTGCCCACCTCCAGACAAGGGGCCTGGGCCTGGGATAGACTCACAAGTAAACATAGACGGCTG